GCTAAGCTTACAATAATAAATTTGCATGCTGTTTACAGGCCAGTTACGTGCAGTGGGTAATGCAGTTAACAATTCTGAAACGAATTAAACGTTTCAACGCTCAGCGACCCAGATTCCCACTAGCACTCTGCCTTTGTGATGAGATAAGTGGACAAATATTAAAAGATTAACACGTGGAATGACCTGAAACGAAAATTGTTTGGCCACACAGTTGCGTTTTTCAAAAGTTCCGACAGATGGCGCTGTAGCATGATACTCCAGTCTACTGATAGATTCTCAAAACTTTTAGCGTGATCTAGGTAAACCTTGAAATTACAAGATTTGTGGAATTTATGAGATACCTAGACGATTAAAACCTTAAAGACAAGATGAACTGGCAATCATAGGCTCATTGGGCAGCCAAAAATTCATGGTGGTGCCACTAGAAGGAGATGGGAAATACGTAGGTCCCATTAGGTATTGACGCGAGCAACGAAAGCAACAACCCGGCGCCAATGATCCGAATAAGCATTCAGGTCAGCGCACGTGACAGCCAGAAGATTGTTTGGACCTGGTGCAGTCGGTGTTTAACTGAATCCACGCCAACGGGAAGCCTCTATTTATATCGCGGTAACGAGGTCTCGGATGTAATCTTGCGAAACGTTTCGAGGAGAACTCGTTTCCTCGTGAAACGCATCGAAACGAACTGTCTGCGCTTAGAGTACCTATGCTGGACACGATATACCATGTCCCACTCGAGACCACTAAGTGGCGTCGTAAGTTGGGACCTCCAGAAGAACGTCCCTCGTTGTTACTGCGGAGACAAAGTTGCCTGAGGGCTTTGCACCATGTTTAAACCTTAGTTCGAATTCACAGTGGGCAAGTAGCCGGGTTTAGTGAACTATGTGTACCTGGGGGCGAGGAAAATAGTCCGCCTGGATAGATCTGAAGTGATGCCTAACTATAACTATTTGGCTGAGGCTATGGTAGAGGTCAGATGGTTCATTAACCTTCGAAGCTACAGCCCAGACCTAACCTAACTTTGAAAACTTCGGTCCAAACCTAACCTAACTTTAAAAACTTCAGTCCAACCTTAACCTGACTTTGGAAACTTCGGTCCAAACCTAACCTAACTTTAAAAACTTCAGTCCAATCTTAACCTGACTTTGGACACTTCGGTCTAAATCTGACATAACCTTAAACCTAACATAACCTTCAAGTTAATTATATAAAAATTCGACACGCACTTTATTCGCAGAAACAAATTTTGTAACATGCCAACTAATTTGGTAAATTGCTTTGCTTTTTATGGGATCAAGGATTTTTTTATTGTCAAAGCTATCGTGAAACCGGAGTCGAGGTTAATTCGCGTGAAAACGTCAGTTTTGTTCGGAGCCAATCAACAAACGCGTACGTCATCGATCGTTATCAGGAGGGAAAAAAATTACTGTAAAATCAAGAAAAAGAAAAAAAGAAACCAGACGGTAAAGCGAACCACTCGAGGAAAGTGGAGTGTCGTTCGCGTGACGCGCATTTGTGTCACCGGGACACACCGTGACACATACGTTTTTTATCTCGAATAATTATTCTTATTGCTTTCCCCTCAATTAAAAAAAGAACTTTTCCTTTTCTTTGTCAACCTATTTTTTGCATATTTGCAATTTCCAAACAGTTAAGCCTTAAAGGAAAAAATTCGAATAATCTTTATGAAGTAGGGATATGCCTCCACCCTACACGGTTCTGTGGGTCAGCTAAGTCGATTTATCAAATATCTCAAGCAAGAAAAATTGCTTTCTTAAAGAAATGACCAACCGCCAAAATTCGCATTTTGCACATTTTTTGTTCTTATGAGATAAATCGGAAGAGCAAAGGTTAATCAGCCATGACGTTTTGCAGAAAGGAACACGAAGATGCTCGATAAAATCCTAGCCGACAGATATAATTAATCTTCGAGCTGAGCCATCGCGATTAGCCTCAAAGGAAGCAGCCTCGACGTGAAAAATGCGGCTCGATCCTCTTTAACCGTGAAAATTCACACCGTCCCTTTCCCTTTTCACCCTTCACACCCCCGGAAAATCGCTTTTTTCTTGAAAAGGGTAGGAGTTCGATAACCCTCGAGAACACAGCACTCTGAAATTTCTTGCTCGACCTGCCGCGATGAATAATGAATTCCTTGCTTCCTCGATTTAACGCAACAATTCCTTTTCAAGCTACTTCTTTCCTATCTTGTCTTTTATTATTATATGGATTCTAGCTTCAGATGATCCTTGTTTCTCAGCTTCGCCGCATGAGGCCCCTATGGTCAATTGGGACTTGGGGGGCCTCATGCGGGGAAATTGAGAAGCTTCAGATGATCCTTGTTTCTCAGCTTCGCCGCATGAGGCCCCTACGGTCAATTGGGACTTGGGGGCCTCATGCGGGGAAATTGAGAAGCTTCAGACGGTCCTAAAACGGGATCAAATTTCGCGATTTCGTAATTCAAAGATTTTGAAGCGAATAATCAATATATTCTCATGATTCTTTTTCCTAAATATACTTTTTACAATTATACAGCGCCGTACAGAGTCCGATTTTGCAATTTGTACGTCGATGGGTGTACCTTTCCTGAAATTTAAGGGCGTGCTAATGTAACTCCTGTTGATCCTTAATACTTAGACACTTGAGTAACTAGAGCAAAGTAACAGTGTAACTAGTAATCACTATTCAGGTACTCGAGTCTCTAGACTAAGGTAAAGAAATAACTACATATTAAGTACTACTCGCAGACTTACTACTAATAAATTCATCCAGCTGAACCAAGCGATTTCTAAAGAAAAAAAGGTACCACCATAATTATCTTCTTGTATATCATGCAGATACGGGTACCCACGAATGTGTACGTAAAGCTATTGGGAATAAATTATGTACCATAAAAAGGGGAGATAAAAACGAAACGGAGGATGTACCACTTAAGACGGCCTAAGAGTGACGGGGTAGTTATAAATAGGAGAGCGTGCCCGGCCATTCAGTGTGTCGTTTCGCGAAGCACGTGTACCACGTTTTATGGGGGTAATAATTTACAATTATGTCATCGCGTCCGGTTATTTTTACGCGGCGCGCGCCGTCTCCGCTCGCTTCTGTTTCTCTGAATTCATCTTTCTTTTTCTCCTTTTCAGTTCACGTTCGACGAAAAAGAAGAGAAGATGAATTAGATAATTCGAAAACGATCCATTGATCAAAACGCTAGACGGTATCATAAATTTTACATATTTGGGACAATGTTTCTCATAAATTTTCCCTAGTTTCCTTCTACGTGTTTGGGAGGGACAGAGAATTTCGCGACGCTTTAATGGCGGTAGTTTCTATGCCAACGCGATTTCCACGACTTTCTTTCGGCCCCGTTCCCCCCAAATTTATCGTTCAGAACATCGCCCTCGTAGGATAAGATCATCCCGGAAAGCTTGGATGTTATGGAACCACCACAGTCTGGAGGAAATACGGAAGAATTGAAGGGAGATCCGTGCCAAAGTGTCCTCGCTTCCGGATAACGTTCCAGGTCTCTCTCGTTGGCACTGGCCACCTCGTTAAACGGCGTCTAGTGACTTTATTCAGAAGTTGGTAGCATCGTACCATTATGGAGGGTCACGTACCATCATTCATTAACTGGTGGTTCTATACTCGCGTCCTTAAGACAGCCGAAACGCGAAGGATGAAAATCCAGCCGAAATGAAGGGGACAGATTTGTCCCTAGGGACTTGTTTACATTAGGCACGGGCGGTGAGTCTCTTAAGAGGCTCGTTCGAGGCAGTCATAAAGTGACACACCAGGCCCGGACACGAAAGCCAAACGCACATTATGGAATCTTTAGTGTGTTACATAGCGGCATAACGAACAAGCCGAAGCCCTAAACATACAACTTTGCAAACTACTAAATACCAGGGTAAAACGGCCTTCGAACACGGAAGGCGTGTGCACGCGTGTACGGAGGTAGGAGGCGAAGCTTTGATCGTGGCACGTGTAATCCTGATATTCATGTTTGAATAACAAGATAATTGGATACCAGAAGTTTTATGATGTCACGTGGAGCTGAAGTTGCTCCTTCGTGTGCGTCTCAAAGGGAGAGGACGCGTTGGCTGCAAGCACAGCGGATGAACAAAGACATATATTAAAATTTAGTAAGTAATCTCGAGATACGAGTCGGTCAAGTGAAGAAGCTGACAGGGATTATTGAAATTTAAGATCGTTGTTATTACAGAGACATTTTTTAAACAATTTATAAAGAGGCAGAATTAGCTAGCGACTCAGTGCCTGTAAGCTATTAGGCGTCCTTCAAAATTTATTTAAAGAAATGATTAATACCTTGATGACGCGCCAGTGTAAACCACACCTGAATCATAACTAATACGCCCAGATCCAAAAATTCCTTTATATAACCTTCTACTTGTCGTAGAAAGGTATCAGCCATCTTGGATCATCCTCTGTGTATCGAGTTAGAGGTTTAGATAAAAGGAAAATAACGTTCTTCTTAGAATTTCAATTATAACAGAACCTGAAAATTTCAGGACCAGCCTCGAAGAGTCACGGAAGTACTATTAGAGACCGACGCGACGTTCCTCGCCCCCACCAGATATCGCCCAAAGGTGCACTAAAGGATGATATACGACCCGCTAGACTACATTAAATTGCTTCAGTTTTTCGGATGAACCATCTTCCTATAACCGCCCCCTCAGGTGCTGCACGAGGAAGTCCCTAGGGAGCTTTCAGGGAACCAAATAGTCCTTCTTGTTCCCTCATGTACGAATGCAGACTTACACGCATTTTCTAATGTGACCAAGTGCACAACTTTGAAATATCTCACAAATACCAATGGCGGGAGATCCCCCCACCCTAGGGACTTCCCCATCCAGCGCAGACTTAGACCAAAGACCAAGGTCCTATATAGCCCAATCGAACAGAGTATCCCTATTCCTGAGGATGTTTTTGAATTTCTCATATTTCGTGAGATTTAGATAAAAATAAGTGAAATACCGTGTAGGACTCACCAGTCTGCACGAGTTTGAGCGCGGACGCATTGTGCTGCTTGAGCGGCTCGTTGAGCCCTGGCTGTACGAGGTCTTTGAGAGGATTGAGGGCATCCTCGGCGAGCGCACGGCTATTTTGCATAGTCCTGGTGTGCTTGTCGCGGCGGTTGCCCTTCGCGACCTCGTGACTGCGTGCCTCGTTACGGCCCGTTCTTCTTTTGCGCGTCTGCCCGCGCTCCCTCCACTTCTTTTTACGCCCTTTGGGCTTTTGCTCGTTATTCCCGTCGACCGGTATCACGGTCACCTGGCAGCTCAGCCGACGATCGCTGGTCAACACTGGGCTAGGATCACGGACTTGGTTCTCATAGATACGCAACAGCTCGTCCGCCGGGTAGATGACGTACATGCCCAGCCGATGGTGTGCCCGTGGTGTTCGCCCGCTTGTTCGCCCGATCTGCCGGTTCGCTCGATGCCGTAGCTGCCTCCACAGCTGCTGCTCCTGCTGCTGCCGCTTTTCTCGGCCGAGCCAACATCGCTGCCCGCCAATTCATCGTTTATGAGTCCGTCGCGAGTCACGCTGCCAGGCCACGCGAACAGCCGCATCTTCTTGGCACACTCGCCACCCTCGCGCTCTCCGCTCCTGGCTTTACTGTGTCCGTAGCGACGCGTCAGCTTCCTTCCAGGGTGATCCGATGGCTACTAGAGCTGTGCAGTTCCGACGATGGTGGCCTCAGTGGTGATCTCTTAGGGACTGATGATGATTATCGAGGTCCTGGATGGTTCGGGGACCTATGGTGACGATTTAGCGAGTTTCCATGATTGGCTGATGACTTCTGGCCTATAACAGAGGAGATGAGAGGTTACGGTTTGTATTCCCACATGTATCCACATGGTGCTAAATGGATTATGTACTGGAAGGTATTTCGATTAGGTGCGATTATGCAATAAGGGAGTTGGTCTGGGACCTCAGGTGTTTCCATAAGGATTAATAGAGTGCTTTTATTAAGAATGACTTTATTTGTTATTTATGATTGAAGATGTTTTTTTTTAAGACTATTTCTAAACCTCGAGTGGTCCTGTGCCAAAGCGACCGACGTCAATGGACTGCTACCGATTTGAACCAACTATAACAGACTCTAACTGACTTCCACCGACTAAATCATCTTTCAGTCATACTGAACTTTCGATTTATCACACACGCAAGCCCTCGGCTTTAAATTTTCATCAAAGTGACCCTGTTTCACCACTGAACGCCGTACGTCTTATTCATTTCATACTTTCAAAAACTGAAACTAAACTTAAGATATTAAATTCTGGCTACTTTAGTTAGGAACGAACTGGAAAATTAAGTCCTTGGATATAACAATGCCATAAGGATGCAAATACTAAGTTCCAACATTGTTAACATGTTCCATATTTTCTGTCTAGGGATTTTTGTTCGTCTAGCAGCAAAAAGGGATAGAATCCCGTGGACTTAACTAGGAAACTAATATATCCTTGTTTCCAGTAACCTCAGCTAAAACAGTGTCTCAGCGATTGTTAAGCGAATCCTTTTTAAACACCCGCCGCGAGAATGTGTTCTCATTGACGTTTTTCAGCCGGGTATCCAATTCAGAATTTATTTAAATAATCGCCATGCTGTTCCTCCTTCCTCCCATGAATTATTAATGAGACCCGTTTTAACTCGGTTAACGTTGTACACGTTTTGTTCCGCGAATGGAGGAGCGTTCTGTTTACAAGGTAAACGACTTATTCAGCATGACTGAATAAAGAAACGTCCTCTTATTTTTCGCTCGCGATGTCATCTAAATCGTCGTCGTTGATTTAAATCTAATTTGAATGTATCTCAACCGTGAGAGGAGAGGGAAAGGAGACGTTGAATTCAACTAGATTCGTGTCCCGTTTTAATCGCGTGCTGGATTATGTTCAAAGACCCCTTTCTTTCGTGAACAGCAAATAAATCTTGGACCGAAAAATTCGTTTATTTGCGTGCCGCACGAAGAGAGAAATATTTGTGGTTATGCACTGGTAGCATTGGTAGCAAGTTGATTGAAATATTACATGAAAGTAGTAACTTCGAATTGAGAGAATGCTAATGAATTCTGATATCATTGAACTCTTTATGGAACTTGAACTCTTTGAATTTTTAAGGTTCAAATACTTGAGTAATTGAGTTCCTGAAATTTCCTGGAATTCTTTTAGTTCTTGGAATTCCTTGAAACCCTTGAATTTTTCGAATTTCATAAATTCCTTAAGTTCTCTGAGTTTCTTGTAAAACGTAATTCTAATGAATACATGTCTATTTGGAGCACACGGAGGTATTATATCCATCTCTATAGGGCAATCGATCAATCAATCAATTCAGCAGAATATACTGAAACATCCCTGTGTCCCTGATGATAGATTACCAACCTGGTATAGCCAACCACGTATGAATTCTGTACGGAAATAATGATCCAACCATACCTAACCTCAATCTAATTCCCTCAAAAAATAAACTATTACAAAAATAATTCCAGTAATTGTTGTGTCTAGTTTTTTTTACCAGGACCTAGTGTTTTTGTACCTATAGATAACGCAGGCTAATTCGATTATCTGCCCAATTTATCAAATTTCCATATCCAAGCAAAAAAGTCCCTAGTTATTTTTGTTAGTTGTATCTCAGAAGATTGATAAACGTCCCTTATGTCCAGAGATCCTGTTAATCCCCCTCAAGAGCTTATCTTTCGTGGCTGACCTAATGATGTAATTATCGAAGGAAGAAAAGAAGAAAAATTATATACCACGGTTAGGGGGCACTTTTTAAATAATTGAACACAGCGAAGGAGCACCGGTTATGATTATTTCTGTTCTTCGCGAAGAGCTATGCAAATTGTGATAAAACCATTTTATGTAATTAACACGTGTCTGAAAGAGACTCTGTCTCTTTCGTTCTTCCATGAACAAATCGTGGAGAACTTTCTGGAAAGTATATTTTGTTCAAGGATCGCGGGAGCTTACAGTTCTTATCATTCCTACTGAATAGTCCAGCTACTCCTCGATCCTTACCATCATCTTCAATGCTATCATAGCGAAAGTACTTCAATTTATCACTAATATTTGTATAATTTATTTAACTTCAATATCGATGAATAAATTTTCATAAAATCGATATTAACTTTACATCGGAGCTTTCCTCCTCGGAAAAACCAGCTTGATCAACCAACCAGGATCAAACAATCGCGAAGAGTCAACAAGCCTTCCTATTTATTCAAGCGATATACCCGTCGAGTTTGATGCACAAGTCACGCTTCATAAATCGTACATTCAGAAACGCTAGCAAACATTGACAAGTGTACAAACAAGATTCTGGGAATCCAACTAGTAGGACGAGCCTTTACAGTCGTGTAACCTTAAAAAAAAAGAAAAAAAAAGAAGCCGAGGTTTCCCGGACTTTGCCTAAGCTTTTGATGTCGACGGACGTAACCAGGTCAGCCGTCGAGACGCGAGACCAATTTTTCCATTCTCCTCGCACAAAGAAACCGATAAACCCGCTATACTCGCTGTTTCTCTTTTGTAGCTGCTTTCTTCGCAAGCTATCGTACCCCTTGTCCTGATAAGGGCACTTCCTTCCGAAGGGGCCCGGTTGGGCGACATTTAGAAACTCCATATTATTTTCCTTCTTCCCTTTGATACTTCATATATATTGCCAAAAGCATTCTGAAATCTCTTCTATATCTGTTTTAGCAGAATTCTAAGTTTTTTGTAAGTTAGGTTAGGTCAGATTAAGTTTTAGTGTGCATACACTAAATTTCTAGGTTAAGTTGGATTAAGGTTAAGTTTGAAATTCTTCTGCATATAGAATCGTATGTTTTTCTAGGTTATGTCAGGTGAAATCTGGATTATCTTGGAAAATGAGGTTTTTAATGAAAAAACCAGGGTAAATAATGGCGCGAGGTTCGCGGAATAAATGATGGGGTACTTTTTGACTCCTCATTTTGTCGGGGTGTTCTTTTATTAGCGGACGGATATTCTTCAAAGACCACTTGAACGATCGTAACCCAATTCATTAGTCGGTAATGCAGCAGCACGCGGAAGGAAAGCGAACACACCGCGACGATGACATGACATTCTAAAGCGCCTGAAAAGTTCGGAAATCGTGTTACAATATCGGATTAAAAAGCTCCCAGCCGCCGTTCCATTCTCCGAGCAAATAATTGGAGCACTCGTTCAATTATCCGGCTCTTCTGTTCCCTTGCACGAACACCAATGCACGTGGAAACGCTCGACAACTGTTTTTCGATGCGTAAAACTGATTACTTGGAAAATCGATCGAAGAATTCTCGAGTATCGTTACAAATTTTGCGGAATTCATGGAATCTATTCATTTTTCGAAGACTATTGATAGGTTAGGAATTGTGAATTCCGTGGAATTCCATGGAATTTTATCATTACAAATAGGAATTCCATCCCCAAAATTTTCTACACTTTCCATAACAAGTAGAATAGGGACATTGATGATCTTACATTGAAATAAACTATACATTGAATCTAAATGGGATTCCCAGAACTTCTATATTGACAGAATAATTTTAATTCCCTAGATATTCCGAATCTAGTAATATTAAATGCATGTGATTTCACGTTGTGTCGAATCAGGTATTGGACAAGTTTAGAATTCTACAGGTGTATGCATATCGTACGAACCAAGTTCAGAATATTTCCACACCGATCCAATTTCAATCGAATGAATATTAATTATATTCACCTTTCTGTTCTCTATAACATTACAGAGCACGTAGTTCTACGTTATTTCACGTCTGTCGGGCACGTATATCGAATCGTAACCACGTGTCGTCGCATAATTCCAACATAATTCTAATGCAACTACGAACCACAGAGGGATAAACATCACGAATCAACGCCATTGGTTGTAATTCAAGCTACACTAGATTCTTTAAAAATTTCCTTGAAATTTTTGTTGAAAAATATGGACTGATTTCATGTTCAACCGGCCAGAAAATAAATCTTGCTTGAAGCAATAAACAATTAATTTGTCAGCTAGTTTAATTTATCATTCTCCAAGAATTTAATCGAAACTGCAACACGGGGAATTCCTTGAACATTCGAACATAGGGTTACCACGAGAACTGCCAGAGACCAAGATTAAAAAAAAAAAGAAAGTCCCTAGATTGAATTACCCTTTATATTTGTACTGCCGCTGGAACTCGACAGAAGGAAAATTTCAAATCGAGTTTTCCAATTCGCCCACTTGAATAAACAGAAAGTTTCGCAGTAATACCACACCAGATATAATTTCAATTCCAATTATCGACAAGCGGAACAACATGGTTTCATGGAAACCGAAGACGGTACCCAAAGGTATAATTGGCGAAGGGGAATTTGATAACCACCATCTATGTTGTAACAAAACGACCTAAAATCAGGGTTACCACAACGCGGCATAGATCTCGTACCAACCACGAAATTCGAGGTAAAAATTTCTAGGATCGAGGGAGGAAAACATGGCAAGCGTTCACGAGAGGCAACCACAGAAAACGATATCGATTCAACAAACAAGTCTGCCAAGCGAAAACCTTCGTTTCAGCGGCAAGCTTGTGTCACGTGACAGGAACAAAGGACAGTTTGGACACACAGAGGGGGATAGGTAGTTTAATTAGGGGGGTTGAATAAAGGCTGAGGCATTATACGTGTCACAGCGATCCACGACAGGAAGCGGAACTGCTATCGGCTTTTTAATGGTAAACTTTGACGTTGCTACTAGAGTTGTTCCCTCTGTTTTGCAACGAGCAATTCCCCTAGAACAAAGTGTAACAATGTCCCGAATAATGAACCGCT